AAAAAAAAAAAAAAAGAAAAAAGAAAAAGACAACGACCACGTACTTCCCGATTTCTAAGTGGAAAGTGGTACGAACGTCGTGCGGTCATCCTCTTCTACGATTTCGTATTGAAAGAAAAACACGTATTTTAAGAAAAGTGCAAATTTGTAATATCTACGATACCGTATCGATATTAAAAATTGAAGGCAAAGTACCGATGATTAAAGCACCCTCTCGCAACCAGCCCTCTCGTCTATTCGCGATTGGCCGCGAAAACGACAAACTTTATCGGCGAACGTCAGAGGAGGATGGAAGCGACGGAGTTCCGTCAGAGGGACGGAATTTCGAGTAACGAGACGCGCGTTCTAAATTCGCGGTCGGATCGAGACGACGAGAGAAAGAATCGGTCAAAGAGCGCACGGATCATCGAGCGTACTACAACGATGCTTGCTCCGGTTGCACGAACGAAGGAGTCGTCTCTGAGGAACTACGAAGGAAACTGTTCCCTCCGGCTTTTCCGGCATTTCAAAGAAGCAATTTACCGATTTTTCGTGGCGAAGCGACGTCGAGGAAAATTGGCGCACGACCGGCCAATCAACAGCGTTTCATGCAGCTCCGCGGCTACGAGTTCGGAAAATTCTTTCGCTCGACTTTTCCCTCTTTTCCCTCTTCTCCCCCTTTTCCTCTGCGCTCCTCTTCCCTGACGCAGCAGCCTCGAAAGCGTCCACTTCTCGTTGGTAATTTCGTTGAGAATTAAGCGACGATTTCTGGAGAGAAGAAGCCTGGTCTCTGGAAAATTGAAAACTTCCCCGTTGATTCGTGGGAAATTTAGTGGTTAAATTTTCGAATCTTTTGTATTTGTCTTTTTGTCCTTTTTATTTACGACCTTGATCCCTCGTCGAAAAAACGTTCAGGATATCGGAAACCTAGCGAGAAGAACGATCCTTTAGAATTACAGTGAAAATCTTATTTTTCGTGCATTGTTCGTAAATAATTCCGATAATAACAACGATCGAATGTAAATGGTTGATTAGTCGCCTAAATATTTCCAACCCCATATGCCCTCGTTGATTCTCCATCTTCTTGGCT